CGTTTGTATAAATATAGCAATCACTTGAAGAGAAAAACTCAAAAAAACATGTTTCAATAAAAAACAATATTCTAATATTTTAGAAAATATAAAATTAAATGAAATTTTTGTGTTTTCACGTGTTTTCATCAACATGAATAACTGCGACAAATGTCACTTCATGTTGTCATTGAAACAATCGGAACGTGGAACGTCAACAAATGAACTGACATTTGTTCGTAATTTTTAAGTTACTCTTGTGTTGACAAAAACACGCAAAAACACGAGAAAAATGTTTGATTTTACGTTTTAAAATAACAAGATTAAATTCTTGCATTGAAAAAAAAAATATTCGCGCTTTTTAATAAAAATAAACTCAAAATATTTCTTGAGAACAGAAAACCGCTCAATAATCAATTGACACATGTATATATTTGTATACAAGTCTTTGAATTTGACGTACGTTGTGCTTGTAGTACTTGTTCTTGCACCAGTTGGCGTTGACGTAAGAAGGCATAGCGTCGATTTGAATGGGCGACAGAGGAATATCATCGAATTTTCTACAAGATTATTGCAATTTATTGAATGTGTTCGGTATTTTCATATTCAGCTGCACAAGTAAATGATTTGCGAATATCGAACTACTTTTACAAAAAAAGGTTAAACATAAACTTTATGTATAAAATTTAATCAAAATCATATGAATCTTCAAGGCAAATGGAGCCACAATAATATATTTTGCGAATGTTGTTACGGGGCCGCGAGCGATGCGAGCGGAAATTTTCTTGATAACTTGTAACCTTGAATGCAATTTCTTTTCAATCTATAATATTTTTTCCATTTCCGGATTTCGGGGAGGGTTTGAAAACCCAAACCCCCCCTGGATACGCCACTGATCTTAACTTATTGAAAACATAGTTTCCCTCTGAAGAATAAGAACCGAGAAAAAAAGTACATTCTTTTTCGTCTCGCAAAAAGATGTCAAGTGTTCTTACCTAATACATTTTTCGAGAAAACATTCAAATACTTACTTTAGCATAATCTATTTTAAGCGTACAGCATCCTGAATATATATCAGCGCCATTCAGATTATCGCGGGCACGAGATGCAGATTCCAATGTGTCGAACGTATATTTTGAATATTAATTACCAAATCAATCAAAAAACAAATTAGTAAATTATTGAGGAAAATAATATGTTTATCAGAAGCGAAAGATATCATTATTATTATTATTCTGCACCATACAGCGTTTCTTCGCCAGAGGTGGTTTATTTGGTATAAATATTTGGTTATATATTTACAATATTTATAATGAATTCGTATTTTCAGTCTCTCCAAGTTCTATTTCTTCTAAAATAATCAGTTATTCTTTGTTTGACAGTGTTTGTGCTAACATTAAAATCAATTAAATAAGTTTTATATATTTTTGGAATAGTACTAGTATCACAATCATTCGTTTGATTTGGCTCTATGATATTAAAGTATTTGTAAAATTCATTATATGTGATGAGCATGTAGTTAATTGGCTCAAACATTGAGTAGTTGTAGATTCTGGTCGGCAGCTCTAGATATTCGGTGTTCCGTGTTCGGAGTCGTGGTGTTCTTAAGTTAATTTTCTCCATAATATGCTTCGACGATGTTTGGCCACCGATAACATTGTGTATGAAGCTAATTTGTGCGATTTTTCTTCGTTCTTCCAAGGTAATCATTTGTAGAAATAGCAGACGATTGTTGTATTGTGGCAAAATGAATCTGTGTGGCCATTTCATTTTTCTCAGTGCAAACAGTAGAAATTATTTTTGGACTGATTCGATTCTAGCGATTTTCCCATTGGTGTATGGGTTCCATATTCGCGATCCATATTCAATGATTGGCAATACGAACGTGAAGAAGAGTCTCTTTATAGTCCATGGGTCATCGAACTCTCTTCCAAAACGTTTTATCCACGCAAGTCTAGATTTGGCTCTAGCAGTTATGTACTCAATATGAGCATCGAAGTTCATTTTTTCATCCAAAACGACTCCAAGGTCCTTTATTATTTTTACCCTGTCAATTGATTTGCCTTCAATAGTGTACTTGAAGTCAAATTTCAGCTCGCCACGGTGATATGATACGTAATTCGTTTTTTTGACATTCAAGTTCATGCGGTTACGTTTGAAGTACTTGACGACTCTATTCAGGTCAGCTTGAAGTGCTAGGCAATCATCGACTTGCTTTATTTGCATTGAAAAGCGAGTGTCATCGGCAAACGATTGTAAGTTGGAGTTGACTATGCAATGGGGAAGATCAATGATGAACAGAACAAACAGTGTCGCTCCAATCGGGTATCCCTGACCTGTTCCCGATGTTACTTCAATGGGAGTAGACATGGCTCCATTCAATCTTACTATTTGTTGACGTTCACTTAGATATGACTTTATCCATTCCAGTATTTGCTCATTCAATCCCATAATTTTCAGCTTGTGTATGAGCAGTTTCACGTCAACCGAGTCAAACGCTTTAGCAAGGTCGAGATATATTGCATCAGTCTGGATTCCATGTTGCATGCCGATCAGTGTATGTGATGTAAATTCGGCCAGGTTCGTTATTGTTGACTTTCCTTTGACAAAACCATGCTGGCTGCTATCGATGATGTTCCTCATGTGATAATTCAAATGATTTGCAATTATCGAATCCAACAATTTAGGTATTATGCATTGCAGTGCTACTCCACGATAGTTCTCAATTTTGTACTTAGCTCCACTTTTGTGCACTGGTCTTACATAAGAGCGTTTCCATGTGTTCGGTACACAACTAGAATTTAACGATTCACGCAATATGTGTGTTATTGGCTTCAGCAATGTGTGAATGCAATGAATCTACTTTGTGTGAAACAAAGAGAACGGATTTTGTAATATCATTTTATATCACTCTACTGAAAATCATTTCTTCATGTTGTTCCTAGTAATTTTCGCTCATAATGGAAAGAAATGAAGTGCAAAATCCATCATTTACGAAGGATAGTAACCAAAAACTATCTAAGCTTCAGAAAAAGGATGCAACATCAAAGAACAATTGGGAACTTGTGCCTCCAGATGGCGGCTGGGGTTGGTTAATTTTGGCCGGATCAATGCTTGTGAACCTCTTAGTTCCGGTTTGTACTTTTGTTCACGAATAATGCTGTATTTTAATGGAGAATTTTTATCTCGACCAAAAAATCATTCCATAATTGACTTTTAATCAATATATCAGGGCACAGTGAAGTCGTTTGGTGTTCTATTCATGGAATTTTTAGAGGCGTTTGAAGCATCGCCATCGACCGCGTTATGGATCCCTGCGTTATGTTACTTTTTGTACAGCTCTCTTGGACCTTTATCAAGTATTCTTTCAGTAAAATATTCCTATCGTACGGTTACACTGATCGGAGGTACATTTGCTGCACTCGGAATGATCATCAGTTATTTCGCATCTTCAGTTGCCTACCTATATATCAGGTATGTATATTCTATTATATGATAGTTCAAACCAATTAAATTGAACAAACAAGTTTCAATTAAAACGTTTTAGTTATGGTGTACTTGTTGGAACCGGTGCAGGGCTCTCTTTCCCACCCACAGTTTATATTGTCACATCATACTTCGTGAGACTTAGGGGTCTGGCGAATGGAATTTGCATTTCAGGATCAGCATTTGGTACGATATTTCCTTTTTTAATGGCACAAGCGTTGACTAAATCAATTTGGGTTTGACATCCATTGTGTAGGATCTATTATACTGCCACCTTTGCTGCGGGGTTTGCTTGAAGAATATGGTTATAGAGGCGCAATACTCATTATGGGTGGAATAACTCTTAACACATATGTGGCTGCATTAATTTATGAACCAGTTGAGAATCATATGAAACGCGTTCCCAAAGAAGAAATATTTGATGATGCAACGGCACCAATGACAAATGATATCATTGACGAGGAGAAGGAGGGTGACTGGGATGAAGGCATAACCTTAGACTTCACCGGTAAACCCAAAACTAAAATCGAAGAGTCAAAATTAGCAAAAACCACGATGAAAGAATTTGATGAACAGTCATCAGCTCAGAATTCACCACGTTCAGAATTACACTATGCTCATCAAAAAAATGGCGAATTCATACGAAGTGCATCTGCGGTTGCTATGCATAATGTTCGAAATGCAAATGAAGTACATCGAAAAATAAGCACACCCATTCGAAATAACATACCAAAAAACGATAGTTTCATCAATCAAATGAGCTCAACTTCATCACTTTACGGTGTGCCTGAATCTCGTCTCTCACATTCTTCTCGATTGAACCGCTTAAATCAATATCATCATCGCGCTCTTGGTTCACGACCACCAAAGCGCTCACCATCGACTAGCAGTTTTCAATATGTCAGCACTCCATACCACGGGAGCACTTTATCATTTCAACCAGAGGAGTTTGCATCCCATTTGTCTTTAAAGTCAATAGCGAGCTCTATAAATCCGATAGCAGCATGCTCAAAACAAAACAAAAAGATGAAGAGCAAATTTTTAGACTTATCACTGTTAAAAGATCCCGTTTATTTGGTAATATTAATTTCAAATTCCACAAACGCCATTGGTTACACCAATTTCATCATCTTATTACCAACCTTTGCAACTACCCTTGGGTTCGATAAAAATTTGGCCGCATATTTGTTATCGATTGTGTCAGTATTTGACTTAGTTGGTCGCATTGGTGGATCTGCGTTGTCTGATTGGACTACGTTTGTACCGAAAACATGGTATTTTGTCGGTGGATTGGCGCTTTCGGGAGCATCTTTGGCTGTGTTGCCACTTGCAACATCTTATTCGATGGTGAGTTTTTGGTGTGGGTTGTTTGGTTTGGCGTCTGGAACCTATGTTGGAATTACAGCAGTGTTGATGGCTGACTTATTGGGCACAGAAAGGTTAAATATACATACAATGAATTTTGTAAATTATTCAATATATTTATGCAATTAAATCGTACTACTATTTGTAGGCTAACTTCTTCGTATGGGATAAGTTTATTTGTAAATGGCATATTACAACTGATAGGTCCCCCGATTTGTGGCGTCTGGTATTATTTCATTTTTTCATAATAACCACCAATCAATTGCTGAATTATTCTTATGTTTTCAGGTATGAAAGATCAAAATCATACGGTTCTTTGTTTTCCACTCTTGGGCTAACTTTGTTGGCTGGTGCTAGTCTATGGGGTTTTATGCCATTCATCAAGCGCAGTCGAAAACGAAAGCAGGAACGCTTGCAAAAAAATTCAGAGGGAAATGTTGACGAAGAAGAATAAATATACATTAGGGTGTTTTTCATAACCTGAAAAAGAAAAATGGTAGATTTTAAATTAAAGAGGAAAAAATTCTGTATCAATTAGTGGTGTTCACACAACGGAGCAATCGATATTCACACCTCCCGAAGCAAAAAGACTGCTTTTCCATTCAAATGTCTAAATAACTCTCGCTCCGAAGCGTTGAACAAATTCTACTTACCGTGATATGATGCATTGAACAAGTCATATCCAAAGAATGCGGCGACATTGTCAAACCGGAAAATGAACATAACCCATTCTGATCATCAAATAACGTCTATGAAACCACTCATGTACTGCGGTAAATAAAGTTAGACACCTTATAAACCTTAAAATAGCCCACTAAGTGCAAGGCTTGAGAACTCTAATAAACTATTAGAAAATATTTGTTAAAAAAAAACTTTAATGCTAAACGCTGGATTTTGAATTATGGATTGAGTGGAACGCCGTCGTCATCTGGTCGTCGCAGCAATGCTGGATGTATCGGAATGTCAAGCAGCGTGCAAAGACCTAAGTAAATAGAAAACAAGCACACAAATAACAATTAATCTAAGCGAAAACCAAATCGATTCCAATTTTCAAATGAAATATTAATAGATAATGAACCTTTGTACATGATCAGTTTGGCTGCTGATATGTCCCGATGCCAAAGTGATTTGAGCAACTTGCGTGATTGTGCAGCGTCTTCTGTTCCAGCGTTTTCAGCAGCATTTGGTTGCCAGGTTTTGAAGAAGCGTTGCTTCTTTGACACCAAACGTCCTGAATTTCGTTGGGTTAGAATGGCTGCAATAGCATCACCTTGGTCGCGCATTTCCTCCCATGTACGCATGATTTTCCGTTGCATTTGCAACACTCGTTTGCTCACGTTCGTATAGATGGTTCTCGGAAGTCCAACACGTTCATCTGGTTGGCAATCGTTGCACTTCTTGTATCGTTTGCTCTTCGTCCATATCGGGAACCGTTTGAAGCATCGGGCACAATGTTGCGATGTCATGTATTCATCCACTAACCGAACGACACAATTGCCACGTCTTTTGAAGGCTGCAATCAGCTTGCGAACGCCTGGACAACGCACGTACTTTTTGATTTGGATCGGGCAATTTGGTGAAATTTCGGCTGCTCCGATGTTGATGATAGCTGTCTTGAAATGTACCAGCTTACCGGCGATGAGATCAATTGCACGACGCCATTCAATGTGTTTGTCCAAACGTAAGCGTGCATAGTTTTTCTGACTGTATGCCGCGATACCATCTTGGGACATTCGCAGGCGATGTTCGATGTAATGGCGCCAAGAGATGTTCCGTGGCGATGGTGTCTGGCCAATCTCTGCGGAGATACGTTTGAGGTCCGCTTGTTCGTCATACGTGAAGACTCGTGTCATTCGTTCGGCTTTAATGTTGCGCGCATCTTGTTTCGATTTCAGATGGTATTGTTTGAACGAAATCTTCTCGTTGGTCTAAAAATAAAATGCAACAAAAGTGAATTAATACTTCTTCTTCTTATTCTTCCTTTTTTCGTTTTGTAAATACTTACCTCTTCGCCGGTCTTTAGATCGAGGCGGACCGACGCAATAAAGGTTCGCATGCATACGTCCCAATGCATACGCGAATTCGCCTGCGAAATATTTTCGTTTGGTTTCGGCCTCATCTTCATCAGCAACAGTTTTGCTCTGTTTCGGCAATTTGAATAACACCGACGCTGACACACCATCTGATATTATCGAATCGCCGAATTCCTTCTTATTCTTGACCAGCTTGATAATTTCGTCCATGTTGAAATACGTACGCCAGCTTCCAATTCTTTTAAATTCAGTCTGTGAGATGTAGCGCTGGAGGACTTCGCCTTTCTTGTTGACTCGAAGACCATCTTCTCGCTTCATTGCCTTAATGCCACATAAAATATTGTACAATGAATCCGTATCAATTTTCACGTGCCGGCGCTGGAATGTGCACTTCGGAATGACTGTGAAGGTGGTGATTTCAGGCGGCTCTGGAAATTCTGGCTCTTGCACATAGAGCGGATGTTTTCGGAACAGATTCCAACTTCGGCGTAGATTGGCAAACGCGAGGTGAAAGTTATGAATATCGCGCTGTATATTAACGAACATGCGCAATGCTTGGAACCAATTGAGTTCAACGAGTTCTTTGATGTTGAATGGGCGTGGATCATCTGGTCTGTAAGGTGCTCCTATCCAATACAGCTCCGCCAACAGTATTTCCAATTTCTGTATGGCATTCGCATTGCCACGCGTTGAATCTCTTCGGTTGTATGTGTAGTTGATGGCATTTTTGATGTCGTCACCATCGAATAATTCGCCCAGCTCGAGATCTCCACACAGACACATGTGGTTCAATTCATAGCAACGCATTTTGAAGAACTTTCTCAAACGCTTTTCGCAATGCGTTTTGAGGTTGGTCTTGACGTTTGTGGCATATTGCT